TATAAAATAAAAAATCACGATTTAACGGTTATTTTAACTTCGATTTTAATGATTTTTTACAAGTACACTTGTTGACCCTATACGAATACAATGAATGAATTCGATCGTCAATTTAAATTATTTACACAAGTGGATACCACAAAATCTTATGTTATACTTAATGAAAGTATAAATAAACTCTAAGTGTTAGTGAATCTATTGTTTTGATGGGATACAAATTCTATGAAACTAATTTCAACGATCCAACCGTCAAACTTGTTTGTATATGCTTCGAGATCGCATACACCAAAAATCACAAAAAACAAACATTCAGAGATCAAGTAATGAGACAAAAATTTTCGACGGTTATAAAACAAAAAATCACAATTTAACGGTTATTTTAACTCCGATTTTGATGATTTTTTACAACTACACTTGGTGACCCTATACGAATACAATGAATGAATTCGATCGTCAATTTAAATTATTTACACAAGTGGATACCACAAAATCTTATGTTATACTTAATGAAAGTATAAATAAACTCTAAGTATCTATCGTTTGGATGAGATACGAATTCTATTAAACTAATTTCAATGATCCAACCGTCAATCTTGTTTGTATATGCTTCGAGATCGCATATGCCAAAAATCACAAAAAACAAACATTCAGAGATCAAGTAATGAGACAAAACCTTTCGATGGTTATAAAACAAAAACTCTTTCATTTTGCATATCCTTGCACATTTAATATTTTGTAATAGACTATTGTATGGATGTTTTTTTATTAGGCTCTTATTTTCGAGTGTAGATGTATTACTTAAATGACAAATATGTTTTAATGTTTTGAAGTAATATTTATATGGTAATGTGTGGTATGTGCAAATTTAAGAAAAAAATATATTTTTCTTAACGGGTTATAACGGGTCGGGTCACTTTACCCGTTGGGTAAAGTGACCCGACCTGTTAAGGACCCGTTAAGATAACAGGTGTGACACGACACGGCCCGTTAAGATAACAGGTGTTACATGAAAACGACACGAACACGACAGACACGACCCGTTTGCCAGGCCTAGCCATGGTGGACTCAAAGAGGTTAAGGTGTTCAATCAGGTCATCCTTTCCAGTATAGAGTTGCAAGCCAAGCTTCTGTTTTATCTTTGCTTGGAGGGGGTGTCGAGGATCCTCCTTGTAAGAGGGTCAGGCCTAGATTGGTTCCAATCAGGTATCTCAGCTTGTCGTTCAGCCTTCAACTTGTTTACTTCTTTAAGGAGTTGTAGGACAAGAGGGTCCTGAGTGGAGTCATGTATCACTGAAGCTTTCTTTCGTAAATCTCCATCTCCTCTTGGAAGTAGGAAGGTTTGATCAAGAGCATGTGATTTTTCCCTAGACTCGCCGTACTGACTTCCAAGGTATGTCTGTCGGAACATCTCTTAGTCCCTTATACCTTCATGTTTCTCTAGGACTTGTTGCCTCTTCCCCAAATTGGTAGCCAGCCTGGGCTGTGGTAGGGGACCGAGTCTTTCAGAAACCCTTGGGTCATTGATCTTTGAGCTTATGTGGATGAAGTTCTCTCGACGTTGCTTCAGGAAGTCCCAACAGTCGCGATAAACAGCTTTCGATCCTTCCGCCCATTCCGCAATGAGGTGTCTTCCTCCACTTCTCTTGCTTCGGGTTGAAGCAACTGGGTTGAGAGAAGTCTCATGTTGATTATCACATCGATGGGTAACTTACTCCCTATCAGGGATATCTATGCTGAATGAAGGTGACCCTCCGTGTTGGGGGTCACCTAGTTGATGGTTAACTTCCACAGAGGCAACAAGCTGGTGTGTCTGAGCATGCCTAGCTTCGTGGAGCGTCTCGAAGAGCTTCTCATATTGCTCCTAGAGGACCTCATTCTTCATTGCTATCTTGTTTTTATGAGCTTCTAGCTCATCGACTTTAGCTTGAAGAGCAACCTCTTTCATTCATTCTTTCGTTGCTTCGCACTAGGTGCAAGAAAAGTGTCATTCTGTGTGCTGCAGCTTCCTTCACTCCCCATGTTGGAGAGGGATGCCTGGTCAAAAGAGAGTGTACGAATGGTGGAAACCAACTTAACAAAGTTGAAGAGAGTGGGAATAAGTGTCGTTCCCACAGACGGCGCCAAAGGTTGATGCACAAAATCAATGAGGACTTTGGTACAACAAAAAGTGTCAAGTTTGTGAACTTCGCTAGATTGTTCCGGTCACTAGTGTGGATAAATATGTAAATGGATAGAGACAGGGAAGCAAACACAAGATGTACGTGGTTCACCCAGATTGGCTACGTCCACGAAGTAGAGGAGTTCTCATTAATTGTGAAGGGTTTACACAAGTACATAGGTTCAAGCTCTCATTTAGTGAGTACCAGTGAATGATTTAGTACAAATGACATTAGGGATTATTGTGGGAGAATGATCTCCTTTTATAGAATGATCTCCTTTTATAGAAGAGAGTATCTAGCTTTGTTCTGGCCTTGACAAGTGTCATGCTGTGATTGGCCTTTGATGTTAACACGTGTCGCCTTGTGATTGGCCTCTTGGTGTTGACACGTGTTGTACTGTGATTGGCCTCCTGGTTGGAGGAAAACTCTTCTGAGTCCTTAACGGTATAACGTTGATGTGTAAAATAAGTTAACACACAAAATTAAACCCTCTTTTTATCAATTGTAGTAAAGTATGTAAGTAGGGATCGTTCTAGGCCGGGGATTAGGAGGGATTGCTAAATCACTTGGAAACTAACTTGAAAACGTGAAAACAAAGTTTAAAACACTAACTAGACTCAAAGAATGCAAAACTATACTTTAAAATACTTAAACAAACATAAAACTCAAAACAGCAACTAATGACTCAAAACTGCCTAAAAACCACTTTCTGGGCAGTTTTGAGAACCTAACAAGAACTTGGACGAAGTTGGATGAAAACTTGAATCAAAACACTTAGAAACACAAATCAAAACACTTTCTAACTAATCTAAGACTTCAAAATAAAGGGGGATTTGTTTTGGATGAAAATTGAAAACAAAACAGAAACTTTAAAACAAAACAGATTGTAAAACGTTTTTGGATGAAAATGATGGATAAAAGGCTAGTTAGGAGGTTCTTCTCCACGCATGACACACTTGCAAACAAAATGATTTTCAGTTGTTTTTTCAATAAATTATGAAACTCAAACACCCCAAGTTAATTAGATACGCTTAAATTAACCTTCAAGTTCTCCTTAAGTTAATGAATTGGATGGAAAAGCGCATACAACAATTCAAAGCATTCCTCAAAGGTTCCTTACGTGATGAGCACAATAAAGATACAATCAAGAATCATGAAGCACAATGAGAACTATAAGTGTTGACGAGGCATTCGTTACTATGATGAGCATGAAACTAGTGCCAAGAATTCATTCAACGCGATCGTTTTCAAGCGACCTTCACTACTTGTGATTATAAGATTGTAACTATTAGGTGAAACTCCCTCATAATCTAGCATCATATTCATGCATGAAAACTAAGCGTGCACTCTCAATCAACATACACAAATAAGTTATCAATCAAGTAGATGAACGAATTGAATCCGCAACTTATGAAATAACAACTGAATGTAATCAAATCATATTGCAAGCATGTACATGGTTTCGAATCACCCCCCAACTAAGGGGGTTTAGTTCCTCATTCTTGCAATACAAAGATACATAAAATTAGACATTAAAATCAAAGGAAAGAAAACACCTAAAATGCTCCAACTTGGAAAGCAAGTGCATCAATGGATCTCCCTTCCTCCTTGTTGCGGCATGAAGCTTGTGGACAGATTTTTGGGTGGATTTATGGTGTAGAATGGATGGGGGGAATGATATGGAGGGGTTTAGGGTGAGTGTGGAAGAGTGTTTGATGGTTGGAAGGTGGTGGAGAACTAGGCAAAGAGGGTGGAAGAAGGTGGAGTGGCTGTTATGTTTTCTAGGCACTAGAATGGTGTTTTTGGGGTGTTTTGCTTCCTAGGGTGTGTATGGACGAATTTCTGTGATAAAATGATGAATATGGGGGATTGTTTTTTGGCCAAGGGGGTGTAAACATGTATTTATAGGCCCCAAAAACCTTAGAAAAATCAGGTTAGGCTAGGGATGAAATGCATGGCAAGTTGGTGTGTGTGTGGTGTGCAATGGTCCAAGGGTGAAAATGAAGTGATGATGCAAAGTGTGAAGGGTAAAATGGAGTGGTGTTGCAGCTAGGGAGCATGAATGATTGTGTACATTGCATAGAGATGGAAAGGGAGGTGAAATGTGTCAACAAATGGGTCAAAGGTGCAACAACATGTGTGACACATGCCATTGGATTCCAAATGTGAATGATGGAGCATCAATTGGTGCATGTAATGGATGTAAAGATTGTCTAAAATCTAATGGGTGAAGGGAACAAGAGGTATCAAGCAATTGAGTGAAATAATTAAATGAATTAAAGCATGAAATCAGAAATTATGTAGGGGACAAGAGTGATCAAGCATGGCATGGGAATCCAAAGGGAATTCTATGTGTTTTGCATGGCAAGGAGTGTGCAACTTGGAGTGACATTTTTGGGCTGAATTCTTTATCTTTTGGACACTAATTCTTCACATTCTTAGCCTCTTTAGTTCTCAAATTCGTCCATCCACTTTGGCCCATGCATTTGCTATCCATTCCAAGCCCGAAACATGCTCCAAAGGCCTCCAAAATGCATCTTCTTGCATACTTTGTACTTAGAGTATTTCACTTTGCATGTGGGCTTCTTTGCATGTGTATGAGTTGTCATTGTTTATCCTTGCAATTACAAACACACACTTGCACACACATATGCCCAAAACGTCCATCCTCATGCATGCAATCCATTTGAGCCCAATATTGATCCAACATGCACCAAAATGCACTTTTCTTGCCAAGGTTGTTATTAAGACCTACAAACAAATGAAAATGGCTTTAAACATTAAAATAACTAAAGAACACAACGTAAACGCACAAGAACAAGCCAATTAAGTCGCATAAATATGCTCCTATCAAACGTTGACCGTTGCTTGGTAGTTTCGGGATTGGTCAAGTATAGTACAAACAATTTGAATGAGAAGAGTCTCAAAATGCTTGAAGAACATGAGATGGTGCATAGACTGCCTCACTTAGAAATGCCTACAAAAGTATGTGAGGGTTACATGATGGGAAAACAACACATGGATTCATTTCCTTCTGAATCAACTTGGAAAGCCAATGATCCATTGGAATCGATTCACACATACATCTGTGGTCCAATGCAAGTTGAATCTCACTTTGGAAACAAGTATTTTCTGTTATTCACAGATGACTACACAAGAATGACATGGGTGTATTTTTTGAGGTACAAATCTGATCCATTTGAATGTTTTAAAAAGTTCAAGGCAATGATTGAATTACAATGTGGTTATAAGGTGAAATGCATTAGAAGTGATAGAGGGGGAGAATTTCTATCTGCAGAATTTAACAAGTATTGCAATGATCTAGGAATTCAGAGACAATTGACTATGGCCTACACTCCTCAGCAAAATGGAGTGTCAGAAAGGAAGAATATGACTGTGGTGGAAATGGCAAAGTCAAGGATGCATGAGAAGAATCTTCCATATGTGTTTTGGGCAGAAGCAATCAACACTGCAGTTTATTTGCTTAACAGATGTCCCTCCAAAGCTTTGAAGAAAAACAACACCATTTGAGGCATATAGTGGGAGAAAATCAGGGATAGCTCACTTGAAAATCTTTGGTTTACTTTGCTATGTGCACATAGCCTCTAATCTCATACACAAGTTGAAAGAAAACAGTCATAAATGCATCTTTGTAGGCTATGGTGCTAGTGAGAAGGGCTACATATTATTTGATCCAATTTCAAGGAGGATCATTCTCTCAAGAGATGTCACATTTGATGAGAATGCCTCTTGGAATTAGAACTACTCTACAGATACTGAAATGAGACTTCCTGTTATCACTGAAAACCAGAATGCTAAGGAAATATGTGAAATTGGTGAAAGTTCCCATTCTGAGGAATACACTATTCCTCAAAGTGAAAGTGTGATTGACATGTCTCAATTATATGACTACACAAAAAAAAATGGAGAAGTGTGAGTAAGACCATGGCTCAATGCAATATGTGTATTATTAAACCTGAAAGTTATGATGATGCAGCCAAAGATGATTCATGGAGGAAGGCAATGGAATTTGAATTGGAAATGATAGAGTCACATGGCAGTTTGTTGAAAAACCATTTGACAAGCCTCTCATTGGTGTCAAGTGGGTTTATAAGACCAAACTCAATCTAGATGGTACTGTGCAGAAAAATAAAGCTAGGTTGGTGGCTAAAGGCTAGTCACAAAAGCTTGGAATTGACTACAATGAGACTTTTTCCCCAGTGGCAAGGTTGGACACCATAAGAACCTTAATTGCTCTTGCTGCACAGAAGCAATGGAGTTTGTATCAATTGGATGTGAAATCTGCATTTCTCAATGGAGTGTTAAAAAAAGAAGTGTATGTTGAGCAACCACAAGGCTTTGTGAAAGAGAATGAAGAGATAGGTGTACAAGCTGAACAAGGCACTGTATGGATTGAAAAGGCACCAAGGGCCCGGTATGATGAGATTAATGCCTACTTCAACAGTGCAGGCTTCAAGAAGAGCTCAAGTGAAACAACCTTGACTGTTAAAACAAGAGAAGATTCAGGTATCATATTGTATCCTTATATGTAGACGATATTGTATACACTGGTAGCAGTCCACAAATGCTTGAAGAATTTAGAAATGACATGATGAAGCACTATGAGATGACAGATTTAGGTTTGTTACATCATTTCCTTGGAATGAGGGTACTACAAACTAAGAAGAGCATTTTCATACACCAAAAGAAGTATGCACATAAGCTAATTGAGAAGTTTGGGTTAAAAGACTGCAAAACAGTAGCTACTCCACTTGCAATAAATGAGAGATTGAGCAAGATTGATGGAAGTGATGCTGCACATACGTAAAAAATCACAAACAATAAACATTCAGAGATTATGTAACAGAATAAAAGTTTTTGACGATTATAAACGAAAAATCACAATTTAACGGTTATTTTAGCTCTAATTTTGATGATTTTTTACAGCTACACTCCTCGACCCTATAAGAATGCATTGAACGAATTTGATCTTCAATTTAAAATATTTACACTAGTGGATACCACAAAATCTTATTTTATACTTGATGGGGAAGTATAACATTAACTCTAAGTGTTTGTTTAATCTACCGTTTTGATGCGATAAGCATTCTACGAAACGTTTTTCAATGATCCAATCGTCAAACTTGTTTGTACACACTCCGAGATCGCATACGTAAAAAATCGCAAAAAACAAACATTCAGAGATTAGGTAACGGAACAAAAGTTTTCGATGGTTATAAACGAAAAATCACAATTTAACGGTTATTTTAGCTTTGATTTTGATGATTTTTTACAGCTACACTCCTCGACCCTATAAGAATGCAATGAATGAATTCGATCTTCAATTTAAAATATTTACACTAGTGGATAAATCTTATTTTATACTTAATGGAAGTATAACATTAACTCTTAAGTGTTTGTTAAATCTATCAATTTGATAGGATATGCATTCTATGAAACTAGTTTCAACAATCCAACCATCAAATATGTTTGTATATACTTCAAGATAGCATGTGTTAAAAATCGCAAAAAAAAAAAAAAAAAAAAAAAATACATTCAGAGATTATTCTGGCGGCCGTCCAAAATTTTGCTTTGTTCGTGTCGATTATATCCGACAGGGCCATGAGTAAAAAAAAATATTAAAAACATGTGTTTATTTATTTATTTTTAATCAATATAACATTTTAAAATAATAAAATCAGACATGATAGAGTACACCAGATGTTCATGTGTGTTTATGTGCCAGACAATGTGCTTTGTGACGCATTGAAAAAAATTGTTTGAATTTCTTTGTGTCTTGTTGCTTGCCTGTGAGGGAGCATAATCCTTATTACAAATATGATAGAGTTTCAGATTGTAGTCTGTTGTTATTATTCTCTCATAAAATTTATGGCTCGTGGGAATTGGGTTCATTAGACTTTAGGGTCATGAGTGAAAAAAAAAAAATTTAAAATATGTGTTTATTTATTTTTAATCAATATAACATTTTCAAATAATAAAATTTTCATTTATGTCGGTTATCACCGCCAGAATACTAAAATAATAACCGTCAGAAAGTAAAATAATAAAATAGTCAATTTCTGTCGGTTATAACATCCACCATTAACTTATAAACCGTCAGAATCTGTCAAAAATAATTGAAAAAAAATGATTCAAAAATACTGTCGGTTATAACCGACATGATTTTATTGGTATCCGCCATTAAATATCCGCCAAGACTTTATGTCGGATATAACCGACATGATTTTTCTAATATCCGCCACTAATTAAATGATGTGTCGGATATAATTTATCCGACAAGATTTTTCTAATATCCACCACCTAAAACTAATAATGTAGTAATGAACAGTTTAAAAGATAAATAGAAGCATTCAAATGATATATTCTTGCTTTTTTGTATTAAAAAAAATATTTAGAGAATGTTGAATGAGATACCGCCACTGATAAATGCTCTTATTTCAACTATAAGTGCAAACTTTTGCAATTATAACTACTTTTGATAATTCATTTTAGGTGATCAAAGACTTGTATATCTTTTATTAGCATTCAGGGTAAATAAAATAATATCAATAAGTCTCTATCCCATCTTGGTCTCTATTCCAAGTACTAAATGTTAACGCCCAAAACTAGTAAAGCTAACAAAGGTTGAATAGATCAAGTGTTTGTACTTGGTGGACTTGGGCTTTACAAACAAATATGAATTGATGCGGAATATAAGTGGTTCACTTTTCAAAATTAGGCTACATCCACTAAGTTTCCTATATAAGCTGAGAACAAGGTTACAAATAATGCTCGCCTATAATATTATAACTCATCCTTCAATTCGTCTAACCCCCTTCCAAGCAATACTCATCCTTTTTATATTGGCCTTCCTCTTTCACTTCGTTTGACCTTCTTCCAAGGAATACTTATTTAACTCGTCGAATCCACAAACTAGACGTACCAGTTGTCCTTCCATTCTTTGGTCGACACGTGGCAACGAAGAGACACTGGAGCAGGTCCACTTGTGTCCTTTTCTGGGATGATGCGATCGAACGCATTGCTCAGCCCTGGAGTTGGTGAGAACTTGTACTCAATTGCCCCACCTGCTATCCTTTATGTCCCTTCGTAGGCCTCTTGTACCCGACTGAGCGCATTACTCATTTAAAGTTGTCAATGGCCAACTTGCCCTTTGGTGCTCAGAAGGCGCTTTATGAGAAAGTACTTAGCTTGATTGTTGACAAGACACTCGGGAGACCATGAACCCCCTAAAGCGCTCGGCTTCACCCCCTTCTATGCTCATTGGCCCTGAACTTTCTTTTAGGTTTTATGTTTTTTTGGATTTGTCAGAGTCCGAAAGAATCATGCGTTAACACCAAATAAGAAGAAATTAAATGACAGAGAAGTAGAAGAAAAATAGAAGTCTGAAGTTTTTGTTTATTATGTGGCCATGAATCAATCTTTACTCTTTTATGTAATAAATCACGTCGGTAGCAGAGAGACGGACTTTGGTCTTCTCGGTCCTTCGCATTGGGGAAGACCTACAAATAGGCCCATGATGGCAACCTACCAACGGCCCAACCCAGATCAGCCCAAAGACTTCTTCGAAAAGTCCAAAGTACTCAAGTGGATGCTTTGTGAATGAAATGGTCTTTCCATTTTTGTTTCTTTTGGTAATTGGAGTGGAGTATTCTTCCTCATGGCTAACTGGTTTCACATTATGTATTGCTCCATTTGTTTTCAGCTTTTTTATATACAACGACACGTGTAATAATGAAGTTAAGCTCTACAATGAGTTATCAATAATTAATTTGATATTAAACTCGTCTTTTATAATAGTCAAATGTCAAATCTCCTACTTATAAAAGAAGAGAAATACCATCAAATTGTAGTGTTAGTAGCCAAGTTGTTCTCCAATTTCATAATTGTATAAATTAAAAAAAGAATCAAATGGTCAAAAAGAAGTGGAGTGCGGAAGAAGAAACGAGTGTGAAACCACTAAAGATCAACATCACAAGTAAATTATATTCAAGAATGAAATTAAAAAAAGAATTCAAATGCTCCCAACAGTTGATGCCCCGGTCAAGATATTAGCAACATTCATCCACTTGCAATACAAAGAATTCAAGAAAAAAATATAATAAATAACAATTAAATTACGATTATCACCCAAAAAGATAGAGTAAAACAAGGAGGAAGTTGTTAATGTGACTTTGGCTAATAGAGATTCTTTTGTAAGGGCAGTTTACCAGTGACACAAGTTCCAGGGCTATTGGTTGCAGCTTATTCGAGACTAACATCGCCTAAAACGATTTTAGTCATTTAAAAGTACTTTTGAAACAAATTTAACCAAATTAGACAAGTTTGGGCCAAGCAAGTTTAACATTTCGTTTGAAGTTGGTGTCAATAAAATTATCATGCATAGCCAAAAGAAGAATATGGATGCTAGCACTTCATAATGCACTCTTGATTTATAAAGGAGAAATTATGTTTCAGTCCCTAGCTTCCAAAATTCATTGACTCAAACTTTATTAATTTCAATTTTTTTTATCGAAGTTCCTTGATTTTAAATATTGTACACATCAACAATTTTAATTTGGTATTGGGTTTTTATCATAAATGGTCACTAAAATTGACTCACTCCATCAACATACATCTCGTTTGGATATGCTTTTAAAATGACTAAAAGCGCTTTTGGTGCAAATATTTTTAGAAATAATCCTTAGTGAAAATGCTAATAAATCCTAGAAAAACACTTAAAGTGCTTCCTGGAAGAAGTATATAACTGGTGTTTCTTGTAGAAAGCCCTTAAAGTGTTTTTGGAACCCAAAAACATTTTCTCTAAAAGAGTTTTCAATCATTTTAAAAGCACATCCAAATGAGCCCATAGTCTTTGAAATTGAAAATCAATTAATGTAATTCCTGAAAATGGGTGTCTCAACTCAATGTGGTCAAATCGGTTAAAATTTTGGCACATAACTAGGTTCCACAATCTAATTAAACATTACTATGTGAATTAAAAATATTTAAATAATAGAAAAAAAAATTTAGTTTTATATAATTAAATATTTTAAAATAAAAAAGAAAAAAAAAAAAAAAAGAGAAGAAGAAGATGAAGTAAATGAATAAATTGCGATTCAAGCTTCAAGCTTGTAGCTTTCTGGTTCGTTGTTTGTGGTGGGTTTGACTGAAATGGAAAATTATTATTTATTTATTTATTTTTCCATAATTTCTAATCGTGTTGAATTGTGTAGCTTCAAATCGGCTTTGGTTTGGAGTCGTTCGCTGGTTTGGGATGTGAGTTTATGGAATCTCATGTTTTCCAAGACTGTTTTTCCTTCGTTCTTCTCTCTTTCTGTTTATGTTTTTTGACTCGAAGATAGAAATTGGATGGGATGGGAGTTCGGAATTGGGACGGATGGTCGTATGGCGCCAGGGCCGGTCCAGGCCCAGTGCGGGTAAGGCGATCGTTCGGGATCCAAAAAAATTAGGGGCATTAAAATTATTAGTGTGACATATTTATATACATTTTCATAAGAGTATAAATTTATAAAATTTGGTTTAATGACAAAGAAATTTAACTAAAACCAGTGATTTTGTTGTTTGAAATTAATGAGTAGGTATTGGGTTCAAAACACTATGTGTGCTTATTTAAATTCCAATTTTTATAAATTTCTTTTCATAACAATATAAATTTATAAAATTTGGCTAAGTGATTAGAAGTTTAATTAGAAGCAATGGTTTTTCTATTTAACATTAACGAGAGGTCCTAAGTTCGAAATGCTATGGTGCATGTTTATTTATTTTTTTTTAATTTTTAAGAATTTTTGTTGGTTGTTAATTTATTTTTAATTACTAGCTAGTAACTATGTGGGTTGCTATTTTTAAACATTTGTTCTAATTCAAGTCTAATCTTCAACAAAGGGTAATGCGTAGACTAAAATTTTAGACCAAATTTGCAAATCATATAACGTGTCATCAAAAAGTTTAATTTGGTGCCCATTCATTACTTATACATATCCTTAAAGACTCGAAAATATCATTATTTTTTTAGTCTTATTTTGACGAGATTAGTAAATAAGAAAAACACCTCACGATTTATACAAAAACACTTTAAAAGTTCAGATGGAAGACAAAACTCATAATCTATCTACTTGTAAACCTGAAGTTTTTTGGTTTCCTTCTCTCGACATAAAATAATTTAGTTTTTTCCTTGTTTATAAATTACTGAGTTTGAAGTGTTTTTCTAAATATAATTTTATTGATATTTTACGTATAAAAACAAATAATTTTTTATATAAAGTGAGGACGCATTTTTTGGCATCATCCCGAGCCTCAAAAATCTCTGGACTGGCTCTGTGTGGCGCTTGCTAAGTTGTGGGCTGAGGGGACCTGTGGCTTCAATTAAAGCTCATGGTTGCTGATTGAGGCTGGGATTGCAGTTTGAAATTTGGAATCGAATTCCCAAAAACATGGGCGAAAACCCCAATCCGACGAGACCGCCACCGCCACCAAAAAGCCTCCCATTCCGATGTACGCGAAGGCGCTGTCGGGTTCGCTCGGAGGCATCATGGAGGACGCGAGTCTTCAACCCATCGATGTCATCAAGACCCGGTTCCAGCACGATCACACCAGCACCTACAAGCGAATTGTCCACTGCTGTTACATGTGCGACGGGACGGGGTGGGGCTATAGTGGTTACTTGGCTGGGAGAGGAAGAAGAAGAACTGTTCATCTGCTTCTTCTTCTTTCTTTTTTATTTTTAAGTTTTTAATTATATAAAACTAAAAATGGTTTAAATTTTAATATACTAATAGTTGTGAGATGAATTAAAGACAATAAACGCAAATAATACAACAGCGCGTGCAGTGCAAAAACAGGCATACGGACTGATTCCAACAAGTCAAGATGAGGCGCAAAGGCTTTTTTCTTCGAGCACAAGCGCGGAGAACTTTCCAAAGCAACTAAAAAATCTGTCTTTCCTTTCTCCTTTCACTCGGCCTCCTTTTTGCGCGATCTCATTGGAATAATTTCAATCCATTAATTTCATCTTTCATCTGCTATATATATAATGATTGAAACCTACTTATCAGACAACATATATAGAAACCTGAACAACTAGCTAGCTTTGAGCTTTCATTATTTGGGTAGCTGGAAGTAGTGTTATTAGGGTTAGGGTAGAGGGAGCTGGAGAGGCAGATGCAATGGAGGATTTACCACCTGGGTATAGATTCTACCCAACAGAGGAAGAGTTGATTTCGTTTTACTTGCACAACAAACTTGATGGGAGGAGTGGGAACTTGAACCGAGTTCTGGACCGAATCATACCCGTTGTATACATTTACGAGTTTAATCCATGGGAACTCCCACGTAATTTGACATCTCTCTCTCTCTCTCTCTGCCCCCCCCCCCCCCCCCCCCCCTTTAATAATTACTTGTTGGATTTATGCTTATATGTGTTTGTTTAGAACACTAATTTATAGCATCGGTACATTGTTGATATTCATTGAATATAATATGGACATAAATTTAACGACAACGGTAGTTTTCGCACCGGTTATTTATCAATAATCATTACCCTAACTGATTTCAATTTCCTTTTCATTTTGGTATGTGTGTGTGTGTGTGTACAGATGCAGTACTTCAACTTATATATATTTCGATATCATATCATTCTAGAATTAGTTAGTTTACACTTTAATTAATTAATTAGGTTTATAATGAACTATTTAACAGAGGTTTCGGGAGAGGTGAGCCATGGAGATTTAGAGCAGTGGTTCTTTTACATCCCAAGACAAGAGAGTGAAACTCGAGGAGGGAGACCGAGACGACTCACAACAACTGGGTATTGGAAAGCAACAGGATCTCCAAGCATTGTTTACTCTTCCAATTCCAATTACAATCATGCGATCGGCCACAAAAGAACCATGGGTTTCTACACTGGCAGAGCTCCACATGGAAAGAAAACCGAGTGGATGATGAATGAATACAAAGGCATCGAAGTTCATGCAGATCATAATAATCAACTATCAATGACAGCTTCTTCATCAAACACTAGTACTAGTACTAGTACTCCTTCTGCTCCCACGGTCAGTATACGTGCTAATTAATTTCTTAGCTCAAAAGTAACATCCATGTTTTAAAACTTCACAAAACTTGAAATACATCTATTAGAGAGGCTGTCAACAAGCTTGTCCAAATAAAATTATTGTTTTCTGAAACTTCATAAATTCAACTGGAATTAGCCAACACCACTTAGTGAGAAAAGGCTTTGTTGTTGTTTGTATTTGTGAGACAACTATCTAGTTTGCAACCTGATAACATAATTGGAGAACTATTCGGATTTATAGTATAATGACATAATTACCTGATAACATAATTGGAGAACTTTTCGGATTTATAGTATAATGACATAATTAATCAAGTTGCTTTGTGTGTGTGTGTATATATATATATAACATATGGTTTTAAGAAATTACAAGTGATATATCCCATAAATAATATAAATTGGGCGCACAAAAAGACATTTAATCACTTTATAGAAGGGACACCAGCAAAACTGAACATGTTAGTGGTGCCAACTATATATAACAAGTTAACAACAAATGAAACCATATGACAGGACCACACTGTTTTTAAGCGACTTAATTGATGTAGTACGGCATTGATCAGTTTTAGTGCAGTTAATTATATGCATCTAAACCCATTTAACTAACCAAACTTCATAATAAATATTATTAAATATTATGCTGATATATGTTTTGGCATGCATACATGCAGTTAAGGGAAGAATTCAGCTTATGCCGAGTGTACAAGAAATCGAAATGCCTTAGGGCATTTGACAGACGACCTCCAGGGATTGAGATCACAAGAAACCCTACCTTAATCATTCAAGCAGCTCCTGCTCAGGGTGCAAATCATCTGGATCAAGGGTCGACAACGTCAAATAGGAATCCTCAGAATATGGGAGATAGAACAAACTTAAGCTCACTGGACAGTTCATCCTCAGGAGACCATGGCTCTCAATCCTCTCAACCAGAGCGAAGTTGGACTTTGCCAATGGCCGTTGATAATGAAGCTATTTGGGAATGGGACGAATTAATGGATAATTGGCTCCATTGGTTTTAAGGGGTGGACAAGATGAAATTGAAGAAAAGATTACGTTTCTACAAATGAAATGTTTAATGGATTAATGCAGGTGGAATCATTTGTAGGGTTTAACCGTTCTAAGGTAAAGTTTGTGCTACAATTTGGAAAAGAAAGCCAAATTCATATTGTACTAAACTTGCCCTCACCAGTCTAACCAATCTTGATCCCTTTTGCTTCGTTTGAAACAAAAACCAATAAGTTCTTTGTCTAATGTGTTTCATATATTATGTACGTTTCTTGGACTATTTTGTATAACCTTGAAAGTTTGCAGAAGTAGCTAATAGAATTTATCATTTGGCTTACATATATAATAGTTATGTGTTGGTAATAATAAAATGATGAGAACTGTTATGATTTGGAATCCAACTGATTCAAGTATTTAACCATATTAACTTTTATATCAAGTGTACAAAACTGATATTTTTTATAAGAAAAAGTTTGGTCACATTCTATTTTTGAAGTGAGTTTTGCTTTTTTGTTTTTTTTTTTTGCGTACACTCTTATGTGTGTGTTTTTTGTTTTTTTGTTTTTTTTTGGCATTTAAATTGATTAAATGGAAAGAGAAAATAAGAGTGTGAAAATCATTATACTTTATTTATCTAGCAACACTTCATCAAAGTCTTTTGCATGAGTTATTCCTATATTGATAATAGTAAGTTCCAATCACCAACAATATCCAGATGGTACTTTTACTACAGTGGCGGAAAACAATCAAGTCTATACATTTTGGTGAGAGTTTGATCCCCACCAATTTCCTTCCTCCTAATAGCTAACTTCTTAACCCACTATTGTTATTGCTCTACTAAAAAAAATGTATCAATAGTATGTACGACATGTATGGTTAAAAAAATGTTGGGAATTGTGCATGAGATATTTGAACCTATAACCCTTTCACCAACGTGGAATTTAAAGGAAGAGGGGGGGGGGGTATTGTATATAGAGTTTGATGGATTTTGCTTATGAAATCTAGGTGTATTCAATATAAACTTTTAAGAAGTTAACAAAAGTCATCATGTATTGACAAAGACTTTTTATGACGTTTGAAATGTCTATGAAATTCTTGTGGTATTCAATTATGATTTTTGTGAGTTTGCAAAAATCCAGGTGTATTCAAAATTTCATTGATTTTAAGGGATTTTAAAAATTCATGGATTTTGATGGACTTTTAGTGTTTTTATGATAAATATTTTGTCATATCAAATCCAACATCTTCTCCCAAAATTTTGATAGATTTCATTGTTTTTCAATTGTCTAGTGATAAACTACACCACCTAATGCAATGACTATTACACCACTATGTCACCAGCATCATCTTACCATCACTACTATGAAAGTACCTATTAGTGTCGTTTTAAAAGACGACAAGAAAAGCTAATTTCTGGCGGATATTTGGAAATATCCAACAAGAAATAGCTGCAATGCCATGTAAGAAGCGACAAAATTGCTAGCTTCAGGGAAATACTTTTTTCTATCAATTAGGACTCTAAAACCGCCAAGAAAAGGAAAGCATTTTAATTTTTTTTTTAAAAGTCAGTAGTGTCGGATAGAAGACCATTGATGTCGATTACAATTGACACAAAAGGTCTATTTTTGAAATAAAAAAAAATTTAATTCGACTTCACTATTTGTGTCAGATAATAATGTCTAGTGTCGATTATATCCGACATTTATAGTTTATATTGGTTGTAAGCAACAATATTGCTTTTTCACCCGACATAATCTAAACAAGCTGTTAGAAATGTCTTATCTGAGTACATTGTATAAAACCACCACCAGTCTTTGACACATTAAGCCACTTTTGTAGTAGTGCATGACCACTCTTCCACCCCCACAACCACCATCATCACCATCGCCGTCACAATCGTCACTACCTTGAGCATCATCACCAACCCTACTATGACCACCATTGACACCACAATCACCATGACCGCCACCTCTATCACTGTCAGCACCACCCCCCTTATCCTTACTCCTCCACCACCCCAACAACACCCTGCCACTTCAAACAGCACCCCAACTATTATCGTCACCACTAAAGACACCAACTTACTATCACCATCTTGTTGACGATCACCATGTGACACTTCCACCACTATAGTTGCCACCATCACCTCATAATACCACTTTGTCATGGTCATCATCACAATTTCAATAGCAAAAACTTAAAAATGATAATGCTTATTAATAAATTGGTCATTAAAAAGTCTATGACAATTCATAAAATTATAGTATTGAACTCTCTAAAATTATATAAGTCTATCATTTAGCTCATTTATTTTTCACACAAATATGTCATTAAAAGTCTAAGAAATTTTATGGAGTTTATAATAGTATGTAAAAATCTACTTAAATATGTGAAAGTCTATCACATATAAAACTCAACAAAAATCCATATAAATCTGAATACACTACAGCCCTAAGAATCACTAAACCGTATATATATTCATTGACATTATGAATATTATTGAAATTAAGTCTAGATAAAATTTATTGAAATAGAAGTATGAGTGTAAAATGTATATAAGTAGATTGCATGCAAACTGTACTTGTTTTCCTTCCTTTTAAAAGATCAGAGCGATGTTATTAATTAACACTCCAAAATAAATTACAATTTATAACAAGTTTAATATGACTTTTGTAGCATATTGCCATTAAAAGTTATGTTTTACATGGTCTCTGTATAAAAGCGATTATGCATGATTAAGTTTTTCTATATTGAGGTTAATTGTAATTTTCAAATGCAGACATGCTGTTTCTATCTAATGTCTATACTATAAAAAAAAAGTAATGAAAAGTGGCGCCGCCACTTTATGGAATGTCTATACTATATGAACAATACAAAGATAGGATAAACCATTAAACGATACCACTAACAAAACCACAGGCAATACCAAAACAAGAAAAGGATAAATTTAGGGATAGTTTGGTACAAGTATGCTTTAAAAAAAAACTATTTCGGTTCTATTATGAGAATAAACAGCTATAATATAAAGTTATTAATTGTTTGGTGAACTTTTTCCTATAAAGTGCTTTTAACAAAAAAAAAAAAGTATGAGTGTTTGGTAAATTTTTATATAAATTACTGTGAATATGTAAAATGACTAAAAAAAATATGATATTTAATGTGATATAATTATTGTCAAAGAGAATAATACAAGGGAAATGATTGTAATTTTATAAAATATGTGGAAGTATACTTCTCATTAAAAAAAAATTATCAAATAGGCATTGGTTACTATGTTTTTTTTTTAAAAAAAAAACATTTTTTAGAAGTATGATAGACCAAGATGCTTCTGCTTTTCTATATTTTATTATTGTCATTGAAAGCAACTTTTTCAAAATGTGTGTGTTTTTTTTGTTTTTGTTTTGTTTTTGTTTTATCAAATACATTCCAATTTTTTTAATAAGTTGCTTTTTTTTTGTATATAAAATTTCATATTGCCAAACCAGCTCTGAGACCATCTTTTTCTCGGAGTATGATTTTTTCTTCTCTTTTTTTCCCTTCCCTTCTCTCCTATTTGAACGGTTACAGTTAAATCACGTCAACATCTTATATTAATTTTTTATAAAAAAAAAAGATAAAATAAAGAATGTGAAAAGAAAGTATTAAAAGGGAATGAAAAGAAATGGTGAGAGAATCTTAGTCCTTTTTCTCTTCTTTTGTTTATCACAAAGGACGCGTTGACAGAAATATAACAGCAGGAAAGTGAGCAAGACAGGACCCATATTTAAACTTGTATACAATATAAGAAGTATGCATGCTTTTGTTTTCACCTTTTTCTCACCGACTTTTGTTAATTTCTTCCTTGTCGGTTATAGTATTGAAAAACATGTATTAAGCAATCATGTACAAATACAAAACATAGATTGGGTTGTGTCATCTGTCATTTGTCATTTGTCATTTGTCGTCGTCTGTCATCTAAATAGGGTTGTGTCGCTTCGTAAGAATATAAGAAGATAAATGTTAAGCGAACTTTCTAAAAGTGAATATTTTTACGTATTTTTTGCCATTTTATTTTTATGGCATCATTTTTATGTCAATAGTATAAAAATATTATACTAAAAAAATAAGATGATAGAGAGTCTATGAAAAATCTCATTTTGAAATAATTTCCTTAGAATTTCTCTTAAAAAAAAATACAATGATGAAGGAATGAACAATTTAAGCGAAATGCCAAGGAGTAGAGAAGAGAAATGCTAAAGAGGCTCACTCAAAAGTGAGACTCTCTATAAACTTTTGACACCTTATATTTTTGTACTATATTTTATATTGTTGACACAAAAAGTTAACGTTAAATTATGAGGTGGTAAACAGTTCAAGAATAGTCTTAATTTGAGAGAGTCTTTTTAGCATTTCTCATAAAAGTATATATTCTCACTTTTCTTATATAAAAAAATGTACAAGTGATATTGAAAGAATGTTGAATGAGACATTGCCACAAATGAATGCTCTTTTTTCAACTGAAAGTGCAAAGCCTTGCAATTACAACTACTTTTAGGTCTTGTTTAGCAGCTCGGACTGTACTGATTATTTCAATCGAATAAGATAAATAGTTGTCGGATAGTACTAACTAAATTAGTCGGTCGTTTGATGCAGTATCGAACTAAAAATCTACTATTAATACTACGTTTGCACAAAATAAGTAGTACTGCTAAATATCCATATTAGTTTTAAGGAAAAAATTGTTAATAAAATGAAAAAAAAGAAGGAAAAATAATGATAGAATAATCCACAAGGGGCACTGCCCTTAATTTGTCGTTCATCTTCTGCATAAAACCCTTTTTGGTTAATCTTCTGCAAACAACACATATCAGTTAAGGGTGTGTTTCACGGCAAATAGAGGCACTGTGAAGGTGAGACTTCAAGCGGAGACGATGATCCAGCCACGTATGTAAGGATTGACAGAGTGTCAACGAAATCGATTAATTGGATTTCCATCGTGGTGGGTCGTCGCAAACGCAGAAATTGAGCCAAGAGCTGTAGGAATTTAATCAAGAAGTTGTCCAACCCTCATTAATTTCACAGAATTTCATACAAATTTTGGAGTTCTAAAACTTAATTTGAAGGGAACTATAACTTCCCCAATAATTTAGGGCGGAACAGATAAAAGTAGAAGAAGAACGACGACGACTGAACGACGACAACATGAATGAGTCTTGCGAACGATGCGAGAGAGAGGAACGCGAGGAGAGAGGGACAGAGAGCGAGA